TCACATAACTGTCTCCAATGCATGATTCTTAAGGGAAAAAAGAACGAAAGAATGGAAGAGGGGAAGGAAACATGGAAAAAGAAAAGTCATTCTTTAGGATAAGAGGCAAGTCACATGAACGACCATGTTCCACAGTACCTACTCCCAAAATCTGTACACAGTAGTGACAGGATGGAGTGAATATTTGCTAAATAAAGAACAAGGTGAACGAAATTTGCTATGGGTTTAAAAACTCAGAGAAATTGGAGAGATTTTTAATTCTCAATTTTTTTTTTGTACCAGTGATCAAACTTGGGTCCTTGAGCTTGCGGGGCAGGCAGCAGAACCACTGAGCTAAATCCCCGACCCTTTAATTCTCAATTTGACATTAGCATGTGTTAAACTAATAAATTAGTGAATAAACATCTATATTCATTCATGTCAAAAAAAAACAAAAAACGTCTGGTTAATTACTGAATTGCCCAGGCTAGAGCCAAACTTTCTATCCTCCTGCTTCAGCCGGCCTCCCAGAATGCTGGGACTGACAGTCATGTCCCACCACATCCAGCTGGGAAAGCCATTTGTATTTAGAATTTAACAAATGCTTTCTTACATGATTAAAAATTAAATTTCATTAGCTATACCTCAAAAATAATACTTCTGTCTGTATTCATTCATTTACCAGGTAAACACCCACATACAAGTGAATCCTACTTCTTAGACCAACATACACTCCTAAAGAAAATAACTACAGTATTTGGAAAATCCTCATAGCCTATGCTGTCTAGAAGAGTTATTCCTGAATGGGCTGTTACTTGGCACCAGTGAAAAGCTCAACAAGACAGCCGACATTTTGAGGAAACACACTTGAAAGACAAATTAACTCTGATGAATGAAATCACCAGAATCACGCACACCTACCTTACTCAAGTTTTTCTACCACGTCTGAGGCTTTTATCCAGTTTCTCTACAAGAGCAGGTGAAAAATGTTTCTCTATCATCTGTAAACTGGGAAACATTTTCTCCCTACATCCTTATGTTATTTTATGTAAAAATTCAACAGATTAATTCTTCATAAAAGAGAAATGTCTGTTTCTCCTAATTGGCATACTTCCTCTCATTAATCAATGCCAACAATAATTCTATTTCCTCTTTCATTTTGGCACCTTAGGGAAAAAAAAACTTTAGTTACACAGAGGCCCTGAGTTAACTTTGCCCTAAGCTCTTCCACCCAATTCCCTCCCTCCGTTCTCTTCACCAACATTTTACCATTATGCTTAAGAGTCCTCGAAAGTACCTTTCTATTATTGTTGAGAACATCATTTATCCTTCTCAAAGGAGACAGAGTATAAATTACTGTATTAAATAGACAGTTGTCCCTGAAGAGAATGTTCTAATACCACAGTCTCTTTAACAGAACTTAGTAAGAACTGAAGATAAACTTTTATCACACAAAGGATCTGGTAAACATCAAAAACCAGAAACTAAGGACTAAAAGGTCCAAGTCTCACAGGCTAAAGAGGTAGAATAATCAAGGACATAACTGTGCCTCCAAGACTACAGTCTACTTGAGGAAGTCCTAAGTGCATAAGGAAGGGGGAATCTCCAAAGAAACCTGTAAATAAGAGATAATATAATACACATGCATCCACAGGGCTTTCAGGATGAGCTGAACTCCTAAATGCAAGGTAAACAAAATAAGTCATTTGGCTCCAACTTTCTATTCATATAACTTAAAAAGAGGTCTTGGCAGTATCCTCTGGCATTCAATAGAGAACATCACTCTATGTTTGATCCACTTAATGAATTCAGTTATATGCCATGCTATGACAGGAACCAAGATCATAAAAGTGGGTAATGCCTAGGGGCTTCAAGAATATAAAAGACTTTTATTGACATAGAGAAACTGTTTAGAAAACTATCAGTCTCCAAGAATCCTGGGAAAATTTACATTGCAATAAATCCTGAGTCTAGTGTTTCTGATGATTAAGAAACAAGCTGACCACTTTGGAGTATACATAGAACAAAAGGAGGGAAAGCAATGACTTAAATGGATATCTGTACACCTGCGTTCATAACAGCATTATTCACAATGGTCAAAAGATGGAAGTAACCCAAGTAGCCACCAATAGATGAATAAAAAAAAATATGGCATACTCTGATGCTCCTCCACTTCCAATGGGGTTATGTCCCTATAAGCCCATTGTAAGTCGAAAATACTGTTAAGTGAAAAATGCATTTAATACACCTATCCTACCAAAGACCCGATCTTAGCAACACAGTACACTGTACTGTATCATCTGTTTATGCCACAATCACACAGATGACCAGGGTGAGCCATAACACACATTGCTAGCTGAGGAAAATATCAAAATTCACAATCTGAAGTATAGCTTCTACTGAATGTATTGTTTTCACACCACTTGAAAGCTGAAGGATTGTAAGTCAAACCATCACGGTGGGGTGAGGAGGGCTCTGTATATACAATGGAATATCATTTAGTCAGAGAAAGGAAATTCACAAATACTACGACATAAATGAACCCTGAAGGTATCACGTGAAGTGAAATCAGCAAGACATCAATGGACAAATACTATATGATCCCACTTTTATAAGGTTCCTAGGGCAGTCAGATTCTTAGACAAGGGACAAAGAATGGTGATTGCCCAGTGTGGTAGGAGGTTAGAACGTGGCATTAGTATTTAAATGGGTATAGAGTTTCAGTTGCGGAAGATGAAAACGTTTGGAGATGGACAGTTTGGAGAGGGACTGTAAAACAACGTGAATGTGCTTAATGCAACTAAATCATACACATAAAATGGCTAAAATGGCAAATGTTATGTGTATTTCACAACGTTAAAAGAAATCTGAAATATTCAGATAAGCAGAGGTCATCTGAGCATTCAGGTTAGACTGAGCTTCATTCCTCCCACAAGCACCAACAGGGGACTTTCTGCACATCACACAGGCTTTTTCCCTAACGTCTACTTGGAACAGCAGTGCACAGCACAGAGCCTGCATGCTCAGACTCTGAGGTCAAACCATCATTCAGCCCTGATGGGCATTTGTAGATTCACAACTCTGAGCAGTAATCACTGAGTCTTAACTCCTTGCCTGCAAAATGACAATATTGAGACTGTCTCAGGGTTACAGCGAGAATGGAGAATGTCTGTAGAGAATCTGACACATCTTGACAAATAAGGAAACACTTAAATGTTTCTGTTTCTTCTGCCACAAGTAAACATGTTAAGGTCACAATTGAGAGACTGTTTCTGAAATATCTACTTCATCAAATGAAACCAGCGTCTTACACATCAGACAGTGGCAGAGGATAAAATACTTCAATACCATAAAGTTATCCTCCCTAGAAAGTGCTACTCATTATTAACACCGCAAAAATCACTAGCAAATAAGAATGATGGGCATCATGACATCAGAATAAAATGTCTTCTAAAACCAAAACAATGAACCTCAACATTAGCAAAATAATCTAGCTATACAACTCATACAGAGCCACAGGCATGGTACAGTATTTGGAACTGCACTATTAATAAAGACAGGGTAGCACAGAAATTAAATAAAACTCTTACTAAAATATTGCAAGAAAAAGTCTCTTATCCTCAAGTTAAAATTGACTTTTTCATCTTTTCTTAAATCAATGTTTTGATGCCATGGGTAAATCCACAGATTTGCTTCACACAATCAATGCTTTTGTTTGTTTGTTTGTTTTTCGGTACCGGGATCGAACTCGGGTCCTGTGCTTTCGCAGCAGGCCACGAAACCACTCAGCTAAATCCCCGGCCCAGGCAATGCTTATAGTAACCAGATTGAAAGCAATCTTTAGCAGTCTTTTCTACTGACAGTTTTATAAAATTATATATGTAAGTATACTGTATATGTTACATATAACATACACACGCCAGTTAGCTTTAAAGACTTTGCAAAATACATTGATCATTCCAGAACCCAGTCCCCAAAGATTATAACCAGAAGTTTCTACTTGCTACGAGACTCATCCAGAACCCATCTCTTAATAAATTACTTGGTTAGAATGAGTATTTTTATTTAAAATTGTAATATATTTTGTAATATATTGTAGCATTACACTTTCAACTTAGTTAACTTTTTAAAACCACATTTTAAAAAAATATATTCTAAGTTGTTTAACACCTAACTGGAGCCCTTTTCTACTCGCTGCTGCACCTGAAAACAAGACAATTGGGATTAAAAAATTGTAAAGAGTCAGAACATCCAAAGACACAAGCACAGACTCTCAAGTTACCAACTTGAATCAAATGAAGGTTTTCAAAACCTGATCATCATAAAAATACTTAAATCTTATCGGATCCATCAGTAACTCATCCCTTTAACCACAACTTTCCTCACGAGAGCAATGACTGACCACTACAGAGCAAGGACTCCTCTCACTCATCGGTTTTTGCAAATCTTCATGACACAGGCTCAGTCCTGCAGGTAAAACCTTACTAGGCGATTCACGTAAATCAGAAGCGCTAACCTAAAACAGACACTGATTTCCCGCAAACCCGAAGATCCGTGAGAGGCTCCTTCCAGGGTCCGAGCATCCAGGCACAAAAAACATCCAAGGGGAGGGGCAAAAAGATGGCTTCGGCCACCCGCCCCCTGGGGCCAGCTCCGGTCACCTGCCAATAAACACAAGTGAGCTGCCCCGCGCGGGACCCAAGGCTCTCGCTTCCCGTGGGTAACGCAGGGCCCGCGCGGCGACCCGCACCGTGGGAGCAGGCCCGGATGCCGGCGGGACGCCAGGTCTGCGTGGACACTCCGGGGGCGGCTGCACTCTGGCGCGCGGCCCGGGACCTGTCAGAAGCCCGGCTCCTCTGGCCTGGGAGGCCGCGACCCCGAGACCCCGAGACCCCGAGGCCCCGCGCCCCGCGGCCGCCGAGCTCCCCGGCGCGGCCTTCGGCCCGGCCCCGGCCCCCACGCCGGCCTCGCCCCCGCCCGGCTACAAAGCGCCACAGCCCGCGGGCGCCCACGCCCCTCACCTGCAGCACGGGGCGCCGCGGGCCTTCCAGAACCATCGGACCCCGCTCCGGCGCGCGCGTCACAGCCCAGGCCTCCCGGTGCCGCCCGGCGCCGCCGTCGTCGCCGCCATTTCCTGCCGCTCACCGTCGCCTCGTCCGCGCTGTCAGGTTACTCCATTCACCTGGGCCCGGAGCCGCCTGCGCCTTGCCGCGCCGCGCCCCGACCCCTCCCGCCGGCGCCTGCGGAGACTGCGCAGCGCTCGGCTCGCCCGCGGCCCGCGCACAGCCCGCGGCAACGGCGCAAGGCCGCTTGGAGAATCCCAGCCGCGCCGCGCCGTGCCGCCTCTCCGCGCCCCACGCCCGCTCGGCCCGCGGCGGCTTGAGAGCCGGCCTCTGATTGGATGGGGCGCCGCGGTGAAAGGTTAACCTCGGCCCCGCAGCCATTCAGGAGCTGGGAGACAGCGGGCGCGGGCCGGGAGGCCGTAGAGGTGTTGGCGGCCCGGCGCGGGGACCTAGCGCAGTATCTCGGGTGGCTGCCCAGGGTCTTCGCGGCCCTGTGCGGGGCGCCCGCGGAGGCCGGCTGCTAGCTGGTCCTGGCGAGCTCTCAGGGCTTGCCTCTCTTTAGTGGCACCTTCTGGTACCCACCACGCCCTCGGCGAGGCCCTTCCCCCCCATCGTAATTGTTCTCATAGCTTGGCCCGCTGACCGCCACCGCTCTTTTCTTCACCCCGTGGGATTGAACCCAGGCCCTTCAAACTGAGCTACATCCCCAGCCTTTTTTATTTATTTTATTTTATTTTTTATTTTGTGACAAGGTCTCGCTGAATTGTCCAGACTGGGTTCCAACTTGGATCCTCCTGCCTCAGCCTCCCAGAATGCTGGGATTACAGGAGTGCACCGCCACGCCTGGCTCCACCACACCACCACCACCCCTTTTTGAAGCACCTTCCCTGTCGCTGCTGCGCCCTGCCTTAGTGGGAGCAGGGGCCTCTGCGTTTGGGAAATAACAAACACCCAGACCTGCGATAACAGATAATAAGAAATAGACAATGGCCCTGGTTATGCAGTTGTTCGTTTGCATAAATCAGAACCTTCCATCGTACCTTGTAGCTATGAATTGAAATTATCAGTAGATGTGAAGTGCCTGATTTAATGAAGACTCTTAATTTATTTGGGAATACAGGCATCTTTTCCAGAAGGCATCTGATGGATTGCCTCACTCTAGTGAGGTCTGGTATCAGCAGCCGCTGCTCTCTGCTCTCAAAAACACTGAGCTGCACACACACGCTCAAGCCCTGTGCCCGGTAATGGGCACCACGCCTGCCAGCCCCATGTGGTAATCGGGCATGGAGAGTACGACTAATCAGAGATGAAATTTCAGTGTTCGCTACCAAAAAACAATGTAAAACCATTCACTAATAATTTTTGTATTGTTACAAGTTGAAGTGGTGATAGTTTTGATATATTAGGATAAATACTAGTTTCATCCGTCTTTTTTTCTGTCAGTACTAGAAAAATGTTAAACCTGACATATCTGCCATCATATTGCTGTTGGCCAGGGTGATCTGGGGCTTTCGATCCACATTCGGACCCTTGGGTGCTGAAATTGCCCTGCACTGTAACAGATCAGGAAACTGAATAACCTTCAAGTTATTGAGCTTGTTGCTCGTAAGCTAGTAAGTGAGCAACTGAGATTTGAACCTAAATCTGGCTTTGGGCCTGGTGTCCTCAAATCACTGTGATACTCAAATTTTGATCAGATATTTATCATAATTATCATTGAAGTTTTACCTAAACATAGAATCATCATCATGGGCAAAATTAGGGAGGAAGTGATAATGCTTTTGACAGACCTACTTCTTCCGGAAAAAATAATGTTTATTGTATGTCAAGGACTACGTGCAGTAGATCCCCGTGGAGGCGCAGGATTGTATCTCAGCGTGGGGGCCCACTGAGGTGCCCAACGGGCAAACCTGCAGCCCTTCCTGCTGTCCTTTCACAGTCTGTGGAGGCCGGTTGGGTGGCTCCACTAGCAGCTTTGTCACATTTTTCACTGATATTTTAAAATAAGTAGTATATAACATATGGTTCCTCTATCAAGAAAGCATACAAAAGATGGGTTTGGATCATAGTCTCAAAAGACTTGATCCCAAATGCCATAATCCCGAATGTTGAAATCTCAGAAGATCAAAAGCCCCTGACATTTAAAATACTGAAAGATCAAAATCGTCCCCTCAAAAAACAATTTTCTGGAAAAAATAATTTTAAAACTTTTAAAGACATTTATTTGTATTTTTAAAGAGGATTTAATAAACATGAAGGCACAACAGAACACTTTGTAGGACACTTCACACAGTAAAATAGGAAATCATGTTTTTCCAAGCATAGACCCTCAGGAATACTAGTAACAGTTGACCACACATGGTGAAGTTGTACACCCAGCTTTATCACTGGTCATCTGAAATACTGTACCTCGATGGATAACTTGAGTCTCCTGGTGAGACTGATCAAAAACCACAGTCGAGCCAGGCGTGGTGGCACACATCTGGAATCTCAGCATTGTACAGGGCTGAAGCAGGAGGGTCAAAATTCAAGTCCAAACTGGGCAACTTAGTGAGACCCTGCTGCAAAATAAAAAATGAAAAGGATTCATTCCCAGTACTGAAAAAAAAAATAAAAATGCCAGAATGGATCGCCTTTGCACGTACAATCACACAAAGGGCTCAAGTCCTGAGAACAGCATTTTCCGTAAACACAGCTGTGCAAAAAGGCTCCCCCCACCTCATCTCAGATGCATGGACCAGTCTCCTCAGCAGACACCACCACTCATGCACCCAAAACAACGCTTTCCCACGTTTCCAGGTTTCCCACCCAGCTGACATGAAGCAGCTAGACTGTGTACAACCAAAATGCACCCCTTTCTTCTCCAGATTCAATTCTCTATACTCATCTTTTTTTCAGTGGGAATTTCAGCTTTCGGGATTTCAATGTTCAGGATTTTCATCATTTGTGATTGAGTTTCAGGATTGTAGACTTTTAAGATTTCAGACCTCAGGATTATAGCACTTGGGACTACATCTTTCAGGATTATGATCAGTATCAGTGAAGAATACATACGGAACGAAAAAGAAAAGTCTCTCCCCCCAGCCTCTCCTCAGGCCCAAATAGGTAACCGTTGTTTCCTGCTTATTCTTCAGAAATCTGAATGCAAAAACAAGCCAATACATTTATCCTTTGTTCCTTGTTTACAAAATGCAGCACTTACCGATTTACTCTACTGTACTTTGCCCTTTTTTTAAACTTATATATTCAGAAGATATTCAGAGTTCCTCGCTGTTTTTTGCTTTTTCAAACCCCATAACATTTTACTGTAGGGATATGTTGTAATTTACCATTTCTCTACTGAGGGACAGGTAGCCTTTCAGTCTTCCACAATTAAACATTGATCCACTTGGAATTGATTCAGTATGCAGGGATAAGGCATCATTCCAAATCATCTTTCTTCCAGACAACTACATAGTTGCCCCTTTGTTGGCCATTTGTTGAATACTTTACTTCTGGACTCCATTCCAGTGGTCTATATATTCAAGCTCTGTTTGCTGGTTTGTTTTAAATCTGGTGAAATAAAATCTTGTAACGGGTAGTGTTTCACACTTTGGGTCACTGGAAATCTCAGAGCTGATGTTTCAGCCTATATTAAGCAGAGATACAATAGTAAGGGGCATGCATTTCCTATGGGCTAATTTTCATTTTCTCTTAGAAATCTATGAGTCCACACTGATATGAAAATGAATAAATAAACTTTTTCCCTATAGTAGCATATAATGATAAATTTAGAAAGAATACTGAATTATAAAATGACCATTTGGCAATCATCAGGCAAGAACAGTGTTTGCTGAATCTGGTCAATGCAAGTTAGACAAGGAAGTCCCTTCATGAAGTTCTTATTTAAAACACGAGAATGTAACAAGAAAAACTAACAGAAACCACCCTAATCCAGGAATGAGAGAGAACTATCCTGGGAGGGGATCATAACACACCCTATTAGTGTCACATTCTCCAGCTTAGCAATTTAGAAACTTCTGAGTGACAAGTGGGAATTGCAGCCATTACATGGCTTTTACTGGAGGAAGCTTAAGTGCAGGGAGGTGGAGTCTGCACTTACCCCCAGCTCTCATCAGTACATAGCATAGGCAGAGCACAGATACATCTGTATCAGTACCAAGGTTTCAGCGGCCAGTGGCCAGACAAGCCACAGCCCCACAGAATTACATATTTATGTGTTAGCCTAACTGGGTTTAGGAATTCTAGTTTCTCTAAGTAATAAATATATCTAAGGAAACCTGTGTACAATTCTAGGGACTACGCACACTGAGGGCCAAGATCGCCCTGGGAACAGCCTTGCTCACCAGGGATCTTCACCCTGGCCCAAGGTCTCATCTCTTTACAGATCTGCCTGGCCTACCTTAGCCAACTTTCAGCTCTGCTACCAACAGGCAAGGATATGAGCCAATTTATCTCTTGTCATTAATGTCACTAATGATGGAACAAATCACTGAAGGTCCTACTGCATTCTCTCTGTAGTATTTCTGGCAAAAATTCATATCCTGAATCTTATCATGTAGAGGTATCAGGCAGACCCAAATTGAGGAATAACCTATAAAATAATTGGATGATCATTGTCAAAAGTTTTCAAATATGAAGATCAAAGGAGGACTAAGAAATGCTTTCGTAATGAAGGAGACAGGAGATAGATGACAATATGTGTAGTCTTGGTTTAATTCTTTTTGTCCTGAAAAATACTATAAGTAGGGCTGGGGATTTATCTCAGTGGTTTCACCACCTGCTGTGCAAGCACAAGGACCTGAGTTCGATCCCAGGTACGAAAAAAAAAAATACTGTAAGTAGAGTTGGGAAAGGTAAATGGATTTTCCAGATGAAGGGCATATGGGAGACCTTATTGCAGCTTCTATGTTTGGCATTACTTTCAAATAAAATGAAAATTAAAAACAAGGGGGAAAAAAGTAAAACTGTACAAAAGACTAAATTATCTACACAAAAACTACCAGAATTAATATATGAGTTTACCACTACATGTAAGGTCAATACAAATATCAGCTATATTTCTCTATTGTATTAATAACCAATTGGAAATTGCTTTTGTTAAAAAAAGCATTTACAGTGGCATCTATAGTATTGTGAAGTATGTATTTGGTCTTCATTCCCATTTCCTGGCATACAACTCCTAA